GAAAATGTGATGGGGGGCAAGTTTAGGCAGGCATGCCACCAATCAGCTCTACACCCTCCCAAAAAGGGCCACTGATCCCTTTCTGCCTCATTTCCTGCTCTGCTTTTTGCTCGCAGTCCCGTGCTGCCCCCTCCTCCCCATACCACAGCCCCTGTGCCACTTGTGGCACCCCTTAAAAGGATCAGATCAGAGTTCTGCTTACAGCCATCAGCTCTGAGACTGGGCTGAATATCAGTTTAGACAAGTTCCCAGGAATACCAGACTCCTTTTGCTCCAGGAAGCTGCATCAGCCTCTGGAATGGCCCTGCCTATGCTGTAGTCTAGGAAGCTACATCCCCTCCAAGAACAGACTCCTCCCCTTTAAGAGAGGCCAGAAGTACCCAAAAGCTCTCCTATGTCTAAACAGCAGCACTTTTCAACTTCTTAGACTTGAGGCTCCCCTTGGAAAGTGCCAGCTCTCATTTTTCTGACAGCAGAGCAAATCTTTCTGCTGTGAAGAGCTCTAAAGCTCACAAAAGGTTTTAGCACCAATTCCTATGGCATCTCTGGGCTCAGCTTACGACTCCTGTTCATTTGCCCGAGAAGGCCAACATAGCCCTGGGGCTCTCGCCCAGTCCCAGATGTGTGCAGTGGGTCAAGGAAGAGATGCCGTCCCCACAAAACACCTTGCCTCCCTGCTGTGCTGTCATAGGAAAGACACTCTGGAGGAGGGTAGTCAGGCACTCAAACACGCTGCGTGGGGAGGGAGGTGGCATCTCCATCCTTGAAGGTTTTTAAGACCCAGGTAGGCAAAGCCTTGGCTGGGATACTGTAGCTAGGGATGGCCCTGCTTTGAGCAGAGGGTGGGACTAGACGACCTCCCAAGACCCTTCCACCCCTCATTTTTTGATTGTGATCTCCAGGCCCTTGTGGGGTTTGTGGCCGTGACACTTTGGCCCACCTGAACTCAGTGGCACCAAACAGAGCCCTGCAGTGCCCCCAGGGCTGACCCCGCCACGCACAGCACGAAATGCTGCCCGCAACCCCCAGGCGCCCCGCGAGGCCACAGCCCAGCCTTGTAGCACTCACGCCTTCATGTAGTCCTTGATGTACTTCTTGTAGGACTCCTTGGTGAAGCTCGTCTCCTGCAGGTGGTGGTTCATGACGATGTCCACGCCGGTGACCACGGTGGCCTCTGAGCCCTCCCCATCGGGGCCCTCAGCCGAGGCGTTGCCACCAATCAGCGCGTCGTCGATCTGCCCCTCTGTCCGTGTCACCATCTGCAAAGGCCCGTGGGGGGAGCGGGTTGCAACGGGAGCAAGCGCCGCGGGGCGGGGCCTGCGCTCGCCCCGCCCCTCCCCCGCCGCCTGGCCTCGATCCCACGCCAGGCCCGCGCTCCAGCCCCACTGCGCAAGCGCAGGCTGCCCCCCCTTCCTTCTCCCCCTCCCGTGACTCACCTTCCCCTCGACTTCGAGGCACAGCCCGCCCGCCACCTCCCGGATCTTGTAGATGTCGGAAAACATCTCGTCATCTGCGGGCAGGGAAGGGAAGGGCAAAGCGCGCCGCCGTCAGCCCCAGCTCCCCTCCCCCT